ACTGTCTTATCAAACTGTGTGACTGGACGTTTAAGGGATTCAACCGACCCACACACTTCCAGGAGATTCTTGACATCACTATCTTTAAAATGAGGATTAATATTCTCAATAGTTATCCAACACCTGTTTCCAGCTGATGTTCTCGTGCTTCCTCCTTCTTTGAGGAGGTTTTTAGAAGCTGTTGGAGCTTTTTCATCTTTCTTGGTAGGATATAAAGGTAACTCCTGCTTGGTCAACTGTTTTTCCTCTATTGTGCCTTCTTGGGGAGCACAGTCTTGCCGGCTGATTGTGTCTGGCTGGACAAGTTTTGAAAGACTGGCAGGAATTTTAGAATCTATACACTGCGAGGTGTTACTCTGCTTGTCAGACGGGATTGCAAGTTCAGAAGGATTACCTTTTTCATTAACAGCTGAACAATTGGACTTCTTAGCTTTACCCTTCACAGCAGGAACAACTTCCCATGCTTGGGGTCCTTTATCTTCTACAGATCCTTTTGAACAACTTACAGAAGGTATTTTCCGAATCTTTATTGAAATTGCTTTTCTATTCATCTGCTGATTGATGTCAGTATTTGCAGATTCGCAAGATGACTCCACAGCAGTTGTTAGAGATGAATCAGCCCCTGTCTGCCCAGCATCTGATATCTCCTCCTGGTTTTCACAAGGAGTCAGTTCAGCTGCCTTTTCTAGGTCGTTACCTTTCTGGGTGAGTGGGCTGCCAGGAATGAAAGAATTCACAAACGTTCCTTTTTCTGTTGGACTCAACATGCATTTTTCCAGTGCTACAGAGTGTTGTATCAACTTATTGTGTGCTTTACTCATTACACTATTTGACTGAACTGAACACTTTTGGGGATGAGTTTTCTTTGCTTGTCCTATAACAACATGAAGCCTGGAATTTCCAGAAGTGATCCTTTTCTTCTCAGTGCATGAATGTCCTCTTATTCCAGGAGTTTTCTTGTCCCATCTTGTGCCTCTTTCATGAAGACCTGGTGGTTTATTGGTAATATTTAAAGTTTCACAGAAAGTCATTTTATATTCATTTACAACTCTGTACATTATAGTCCTCAATGTGGATTAACTATCCTTGCTCTTCACTGATTTTCTTACTAATCATTAAAGCCAAGCTATGAATCTGACCATGCAATATCATGACATTATTTCATTTGAGTATGGTTAGACAAACCTTGTGGAAAAAAGGTATTTCCTTTTCGAAAATTAACATTTGCATATCAGCAACTATCTACAATCTACAAACTTACTTGGTTCTTTAACAGACATATTTTCAGCTTCAAGACAAACAGGGATTCCTATCTCAATGTTGTTCCCTTCCTCCTCTTGGGCGTTGCTTCCTTCCCCAGCCTTTGTCAATCTGCGAGGATCCTGTTCTGCAGGTTTGGTCCAACCCTCCGACTGCTTCTTGGGCACTGGTGAAACACTTGTCCTTGTGTTCTGATGCTCTTCGCAACTAGGCTTAGGTGATACGATTTCAACACCATTCCCACATTGTTCTGTAAGTGTTTTTTCCAGTACTTCATTCAGAGTTGTCTGCACTTTCACTGGGTAACTGGCTGACTTCTTTGCCTGATCTCGAGGGTTGCTTTCTGTAAATATAGAGAAGTCCTTTATTTCCATCTGGTAAACATTGTAGTGTGTGTTAAATAATGATGAAATATATCAATATCAATGTCTACTACTGGAAAGAAAACATTATACTTACAATGAATTTACTGGGGGAGATGTAACTATTGCATCAAAAATGTAAAGTGTTTTGCTATATATGACTATTTTCATTGACACTAGCTGCTCTAATTCTCATGAAGCCATTTGATCTGCTGCAGCACATATTTAATGTATTCCTTAGAAACAGAACACCCCTGATTTTTCACTTGGGTGAATCCTATTTGCCATGATTATAGAATCTCCCAAGTTATTTTTCACCTTTCATTAATGTACCCTTCTCAATTACATCAGATACAGGAGACTAATTTGTTGCTGCTCAAAGCTACAAGTCCTTTCTCTGTGATCTTAAATTTGAAGGGCTTTGTATTAGAGCTCCCTGGATTTTTATTCCTTTCTACGTATGAGCCTTCTGGCAACTTCCCTATTCATTCATTATTTACAGGACTGTCAGCTGGATAATTAGCAAAGTTGTGTGGAATGTTTTCTAAAGATAAAAAGGAAAGATAACATGATAAACATATTGTGGAATATAATGTCTTTATGATGAAAATTGCTGTAAATGTATGGTATCTGATAACTGTAATTATTTCTGGAAATCATGCACTTTTGATATTTGAAACAAATGATGACACACTAGTCTTAATACACAAAATGTGTGTATATTACAAGGATAAATGAGCCTTTCTGCCAGATAAGAAATTACAGACAGAAATGAAACTTACCATAGATTATTGACACTTCCTTGACTGGTGTTACTTCAGGATCCTCTGCATTCATCAAGCAAAACAGCATATTTTTCACAAGGTCATTCCAATCTCCCAATAATACCTCATCCTTTGAAATATCTTTCAGAATATCTATGAAGTGCAATACAAGTTTCCTTTCACTATGGTACTTTTTCAGCATAGCTCTCTGTTCTGATTTAAGAGACAAGTCCTCTAACATTGAAATCCACTCTGATATAAGAGCAGTACTGTATACATTCCACAGCTGTGAATGACCGATGAGAAAGGAGATGTTCAACTGCTTTTCACTTACTGTGTGGATGTAGTTATGAGTGCAGTGAGAGCTTGCCCCTGCCCATATGACAGAATCTGGGGGTATGGGGGCTAAAACCAGGGAGGAACCTTTCCCCAAGTACTTTCTTGAATCCCAGATGAAATCCTTAGCTCGGTTAATGATTACACTAATGTCCTTCTTGACTCGAGTACAAGAATATGAACTTTTCAGGTCATAGCACAGTACAGGACTCTGACATTTTGCCGCAGCACATTTTGGCCCAGCAAGAGTAGGAGTGTATAAGACTGAATGCAAGTCCGCCAGTAATACCCAGAGAGCATGGTGTGGCCACCTCCTTTGATGTTCTTTGATTGTAAATTTGTTGAAGTCACTGAAGTATATTCTCTGCTCAATGAAATGTATTGGCAAATCCAGATCCATGTTTTTCAACTGTTCAAAATTGTGCTTGGATCCAATGATAATGATATCACTGTAGTTGTATTTCAATTTATTCACCATTTCCTCCTGCTCTAAATTCTTTGTTGTGGAGTTTGTGTTTGATCTTTCATTCTCTAAACATTTTACGGCTTGTTTTGGTGCAGATTTAAGGTTCAAATTATCGTGTTCTGAAGGATCTAAGAGGGCTGCTGTTGCCAATGTGCAGTTTGAATTTTTTTTCTCAAGAAGCTCCATGGGACTAGATTTTCCTTGTCTTGCAGACATCGAGGCCATAGCAGGTGTAGTGCTAGAGACAAGTTTCTTCAGCTCTGAAGGACTTTTGGTGGATGCTGCTGTGGACTTATGATTCCAACCTTCCAGCTCTGTTGGTTGGGAAACGGCCGCTGGTGGGGAATCGGACTCTGGCTTCCCTTGCTCAGTCACTGGTGTGGGGCAGGGTTCCTCTATTAACCCCTGAGATAATAGTTTTCTTGATGTAATTTTCAGGGCCATTTGGATAATCACTTTCATCATCACTATCCATGCTTTAGTTACATAAGAGTAATCCTTCAAATCCATTACCGGCACTAGGTTCCTCCCATTCAGTGCTTCTCTGTACTGCATAATCACATGTGGTGACATTCCACAGTTAATGAAATCTTCATCTATGTGCAATGCATTACAATATGCATTAAAAATAGCATATAAACAGTTTAAAATTTTGCTTGGGGTGCAATACCCATTACTCATTTCACATACTTTGTGGAGGTCAGAGTGAACCGGGAAACTCTCTTCCTCGATCACAGTTGCAGGTATGGGAGGGACTACGACCACCACGCCATGGCTCCCAAGTTTCCTCTGCACTGATTCTTTCATTTTCTGGCTAAGATGCAGCATGATCCTTACCACGTCCTTCATTCTCTTACTGTTCTTGCACTCTCTGAACGTGAGGGAGGACATTGGGGTAAAGCACCTCTTACAGGATGAACAGGGTTCAAACTCAACAAAATCATAGATTCCCAGTGCTAAGATCCACAGCGAGTTCTTTGTCTGTTCATTCACATTTCTACTTATAATGTCTGGAATGGTTGACAGTCTTATATCCTCATCTGCTAGGACAATGACCTGAAATTTTTAGAAGGCAAAAGATAAGCTGAGAAGGTGTGGATGTACTTGTGTACACATAGATATCCAACAGTATCTATATATACTGAGTGTGCTTTAATACATTTTTACACTTATCCATGGGAATTTCAATGGCATGTGGTTTCTACTTTACCTCATTTACTTACCCTGGCTGAATTTAATTTGGAAAGAACTCTTTTGTACATGATGTTGCCGAGGATAACTATATTCTTAAAGAAGGGTTCTCCAGTACCTTCATTTGGCTTGCTAGATTTTTGTGAGAAAAAAGAGAAATACTAACTAGTTTTCATAAAATATACAGATCTAAATTTATTTTTTCTTCTTATAATAATGAAGAAATATATATACTGCTAACTTAAACACTAAAAAAGAAAGAAGATGGGAAAAAAAAGAACAGTATTCACACCATACCTAACATTTCTGGAACTTTTTAAAATGGATGGGGTTTCTTTATTAATCTGCAAGAACAAGAATTGTAAGTTACAACAGTGCACTGACACATACAACAGAAGAAATGGCTAATATCTAATAGAAACAACATATGAGCATTAAGGAAGACTTAACAAGAATAAATTAGCATTTATACAAAACTATAAATCAAAAACACATTTTTTACCTGTAATGGGGAGCTGGTTGGCGTCTTGCCTGAAGAACCCGAAGGAGCAGCCACTGGTACCCTCCTTGTGGCCCTTGTCATTGAAGCAGTTGTCGTCAATGCAGGGCCATCTGATCTGTTGTCGGATGCTTTCAGAACTGTCTTTGTTGAATCCTCACAGGCAACTGGTGTTCCCATCACAGGTCCTTGAAGGGAAGTGTTTGATGTCTTGCTGGAACTGCTGGTGATTATTCTATCAATGGAATTTGACACAGTGGAGATGAGCAGTCTATTGGCAGATTTTGATGGTGCAGCAACTGTTCTTTGCTTTGCATACGGTGTCTCGTTTACTGAAGCCGAGGGTGCTTCAATTAATAGCTTTTTAGATGCCGCTATTCTAGCAGACATACTATCTGTAGATGTAGAAGCTGTGATTAATAATTTACTTGTAGATGCTTCTGTTATAGTTTTTGTCTCATCAGGGGAGGCACTTGTAGCCGCCAGTGTCTTGCTTGCAGGCGTTGCAGCTGAGGTCTTATTTGTAGGTGTTGTAGATAGAGACTTGTTTGTAGATGTTATTATAGCTGGTGTTTTGCTTGTAGAAATGAGTGTTGTAGCTGGTGTCTTGCTTGATGAAGCTGTTGTTGTAGTTGGTGTCTTGATTTTAGTTGTTGCTGTAGCTTGTATTTTGCTTGTAGAAATGGTTGTAGCTAGCATCATACTTGTAGAAGTTAGAGTCAGAGTCTTGCTTGTAGAGGGTGTTGCAGTTGGTGTCTTGCTTGTAGAGGGTGTTGTAGTTGGTGTCTTGCTTGTAGAGGGTGTTGCAGTTGGTGTCTTGCTTGTAGAGGGTGTTGTAGTTGGTGTCTTGCTTGTAGAGGGTGTTGCAGTTGGTGCCTTGCTTGTAGAGGGTGTTGTAGTTGGTGCCTTGCTTGTAGAGGGTGTTGTAGTTGGTGTCTTGCTTGTAGAGGGTGTTGCAGTTGGTGTCTTGCTTGTAGAGGGTGTTGCAGTTGGTGTCTTGCTTGTAGAGGGTGTTGCAGTTGGTGCCTTGCTTGTAGAGGGTGTTGCAGTTGGTGCCTTGCTTGTAGAGGGTGTTGTAGTAGGTGCCTTGCTTGTAGAGGGTGTTGTATGCTTGTAGAGGGTGTTGCAGTTGGTGCCTTGCTTGTAGAGGGTGTTGTAGTTGGTGTCTTGCTTGTAGAGGGTGTTGCAGTTGGTGTCTTGCTTGTAGAGAGTGTTGCAGTTGGTGCCTTGCTTGTAGAGGGTGTTGTAGTTGGTGTCTTGCTTGTAGAGGGTGTTGTAGTCGGTGCCTTGCTTGTAGAGGGTGTTGTAGTCGGTGCCTTGCTTGTAGAGGGTGTTGTAGTTGGTGCTTTGCTTGTAGAGGGTGTTGTAGTTGGTGCCTTGCTTGTAGAGGGTGTTGTAGATGGCACCTTGCTTGTAGAGGGTGTTGTAGATGGCACCTTGCTTGTAGAGGGTGTTGTAGATGGCACCTTGCTTGTAGAGGGTGTTGTAGATGGCACCTTGCTTGTAGAGGGTGTTGTAGATGGCACCTTGCTTGTAGAGGGTGTTGTAGATGGCACCTTGCTTGTAGAGGGTGTTGTAGATGGCACCTTGCTCGTAGAGGGTGTTGTAGATGGTGTCTTGCTTGTAGAGAGTGTTGTAGTTGGTGCCTTGCTTGTAGAGGGTGTTGTAGTTGGTGCTTTGCTTGTAGAGGGTGTTGTAGATGGCACCTTGCTTGTAGAGGGTGTTGTAGATGGCACCTTGCTTGTAGAGGGTGTTGTAGATGGCACCTTGCTTGTAGAGGGTGTTGTAGATGGTGCCTTGCTTGTAGAGGGTGTTGTAGATGGTGTCTTGCTTGTAGAGGGTGTTGTAGTTGGTGCTTTGCTTGTAGAGGGTGTTGTAGTCGGTGTCTTGCTTGTAGAGGGTGTTGTAGTCGGTGCCTTGCTTGTAGAGGGTGTTGTAGTTGGTGCCTTGCTTGTAGAGGGTGTTGTAGTTGGTGCCTTGCTTGTAGAGGGTGTTGTAGTCGGTGCCTTGCTTGTAGAGGGTGTTGTAGTCGGTGCCTTGCTTGTAGAGGGTGTTGTAGTCGGTGCCTTGCTTGTAGAGGGTGTTGTAGTTGGTGCCTTGCTTGTAGAGGGTGTTGCAGTTGGTGTCTTGCTTGTAGAGGGTGTTGTAGTTGGTGCCTTGCTTGTAGAGGGTATTGTAGTTGGTGCCTTGTTTGTAGAGGGTGTTGTAGTCGGTGCCTTGCTTGTAGAGGGTATTGTAGTTAGTGCCTTGCTTGTAGAGGGTGTTGTAGTTGGTGTCTTGTTTGTAGAGGGTGTTGTAGTTGGTGCCTTGCTTGTAGAGGGTGTTGTAGTTGGTGCCTTGCTTGTAGAGGGTGTTGTAATTGGTGCCTTGCTTGTAGAGGGTGTTGTAGTCAGTGCCTTGCTTGTAGAGGGTGTTGTAGTTGGTGCCTTGCTTGTAGAGGGTGTTGTAGTTGGTGCCTTGCTTGTAGAGGGTGTTGTAGTTGGTGCCTTACTTGTAGAGGGTGTTGTAGTTAGTGCCTTGCTTGTAGAGGGTGTTATAGATAGCACCTTGCTTGTAGAGGGTGTTGTAGATGGTGCTTTGCTTGTAGAGGGTGTTGTAGTTGGCACGTTGCTTGTAGAGGGTGTTGTAGATGGCACATTGCTTGTAGAAGGTGATGTAGTTGGTGCCTTGCTTGTAGAGGGTGTTGTAGTTGGTGCCTTACTTGTAGAGGGTGTTGTAGTTAGTGCCTTGCTTGTAGAGGGTGTTATAGATAGCACCTTGCTTGTAGAGGGTGTTGTAGATGGTGCTTTGCTTGTAGAGGGTGTTGTAGTTGGCGCATTGCTTGTAGAGGGTGTTGTAGATGGCACATTGCTTGTAGAAGGTGATGTAGTTGGTGCCTTGCTTGTAGAGGGTGTTGAAGTTGGCACCTTGCTTGTAGAGGGTGTTGTAGTTGGCGCATTGCTTGTAGAGGGTGTTGTAGTTGGTGCTTTGCTTGTAGAGGGTGTTGTAGTTGGTGCCTTGCTTGTAGAGGGTGTTGTAGTTGGCGCCTTGCTTGTAGAGGGTGTTGTAGTTGGCACATTGCTTGTAGAGGCTGTTGTAGTTGGCGCATTGCTTGTAGGTGTTGTAGTTGGCACCTTGCTTGTAGAGGGTGTTGTAGTTGGCGCCTTGCTTGTAGAGGGTGTTGTAGTTGGTGCCTTGCTTGTAGGTGTTGTAGTTGGTGCTTTGCTTGTAGGTGTTGTAGTTGGTGCTTTGCTTGTAGGTGTTGTAGTTGTTGCCTTGCTTGTAGAGGGTGTTGTAGTTGGTGCTTTGCTTGTAGAGGGTGTTGTAGTTGTGGCCCTTGCTTGTAGAGGGTGTTGTAGTTGGTGCCTTGCTTGTAGAGGGTGTTGTAGTTGGTGCCTTGCTTGTAGAGGGTGTTGTAGTGGTGTCTTGCCTTTGTAGAGGGTGTTGTAGTTGGTGTCTTGCTTGTAGAGGTTGTTGTTAGTTGTAGTTGGTGCCTTGCTTGTAGAGGGTGTTGTAGTTGGTGCCTTGCTTGTAGAGGGTGTTGTAGTTGGTGTCTTGCTTGTAGAGGGTGTTGTAGTTGGTGCCTTGCTTGTAGAGGGTGTTGTAGTTGGTGCCTTGCTTGTAGAGGGTGTTGTAGTTGGTGCCTTGCTTGTAGAGGGTGTTGTAGTTGGTGCCTTGCTTGTAGAGGGTGTTGTAGTTGGTGCCTTGCTTGTAGAGGGTGTTGTAGTTGGTGCCTTGCTTGTAGAGGGTGTTGTAGTTGGTGCCTTGCTTGTAGAGGGTGTTGTAGTTGGTGTCTTGCTTGTAGAGGGTGTTGTAGTTGGTGCCTTGCTTGTAGAGGGTGTTGTAGTTGGCCCTTGCTTGTAGAGGGTGTTGTAGTTGGTGCTTTGCTTGTAGAGGGTGTTGTAGTTGGCACCTTGCTTGTAGAGGGTGTTGTAGTTGGCACCTTGCTTGTAGAGGGTGTTGTAGTTGGCACTTGCTTGTAGAGGGTTTGTAGTTGGTGCTTTGCTTGTAAGGGTGTTGTAGTGGCACCTTGCTTGTAGAGGGTTTGTAGTTGGCACATTGCTTGTAAGGGTGTTGTAGTTGGAATTATGCTTGTAGAGGGTGTTGTGTTGGCGCCTTGCTTTAGAGGGTGTTGTATTTGGTGCTTTGCTTGTAGAGGGTTTGTAGTTGGTGTCTTGTTGTAGAGGGTGTTGCTTGTATGCTTGTAGAGGGTGTTTGTAGTTGGCGCCTTGCTTGTAGGAGGGTGTTGTAGTGGTGCCTTGCTTGTAGGTGTTGTAGTTGGCACCTTGCTTGTAGAGGGTGTTGTAGTTGGTTGCCTTGCTTGTAGATGGTGTTGTAGTTGGCACCTTGCTTGTAAGAGGTGTTGTAGTTGGCACCTTGCTTGTAGAGGGTGTTGTATTGGCATTATGCTTGAGAGGGTGTTGTAGTTGCGCCTTGCTTGTAGAGGTTGTTGTAGTTGGCATTTGCTTGTAGAGGGTTTGTAGTTGGCAGCCTTGCTTGTAGAGGGTGTTGTAGTTGGCGCCTTGCTTGTAGAGGGTGTTGTAGTTGGCGCCTTGCTTGTAGAGGGTGTTGTAGTTGGCGCCTTGCTTGTAGAGGGTGTTGTAGTTGGCGCCTTGCTTGTAGAGGGTGTTTGTAGTTGGCGCATTGCTTGTAGAGGGTGTTGTAGTTGGTGCCTTGCTTGTAGAGGGTGTTGTAGTTGGCGCCTTGCTTGTAGAGGGTGTTGTAGTTGGCGCCTTGCTTGTAGAGGGTGTTGTAGTTGGCTGCCTTGCTTGTAGAGGGTGTTGTAGTTGGCGCCTTGCTTGTAGAGGGTGTTGTAGTTGGCGCCTTGCTTGTAGAGGGTGTTGTAGTTGGCGCCTTGCTTGTAGAGGGTGTTGTAGTTGGCGCCTTGCTTGTAGAGGGTGTTGTAGTTGGCGCCTTGCTTGTAGAGGGTGTTGTAGATGGCGCCTTGCTTGTAGAGGGTGTTGTAGTTGGCGCCTTGCTTGTAGAGGGTGTTGTAGTTGGCGCCTTGCTTGTAGAGGGTGTTGTAGTTGGCGCCTTGCTTGTAGAGGGTGTTGTAGTTGGTCGCCTTGCTTGTAGAGGGTGTTGTAGTTGGTGCCTTGCTTGTAGAGGGTGTTGTAGTTGGCGCCTTGCTTGTAGAGGGTGTTGTAGTTGGCGCCTTGCTTGTAGAGGGTGTTGTAGTTGGCGCCTTGCTTGTAGAGGGTGTTGTAGTTGGCGCCTTGCTTGTAGAGGGTGTTGTAGTTGGCGCCTTGCTTGTAGAGGGTGTTGTAGTTGGCGCCTTGCTTGTAGAGGGTGTTGTAGTTGGCGCCTTGCTTGTAGAGGGTGTTGTAGTTGGCGCCTTGCTTGTAGAGGGTGTTGTAGTTGGCGCCTTGCTTGTAGAGGGTGTTGTAGTTGGCGCCTTGCTTGTAGAGGGTGTTGTAGTTGGCGCCTTGCTTGTAGAGGGTGTTGTAGTTGGGCCTTGCTTGTAGAGGGTGTTGTAGTTGGTGCCTTGCTTGTAGAGGGTGTTGTAGTTGGCATTATGCTTGTAGAGGGTGTTGTAGTTGGCATTATGCTTGTAGAGGGTGTTGTAGTTGGCATTATGCTTGTAGAGGGTGTTGTAGTTGGCATTATGCTTGTAGAGGGTGTTGTAGTTGCATTATGCTTGTAGAGGGTGTTGTAGTTGGCATTATGCTTGTAGAGGGTGTTGTAGTTGGCCATTGCTTGTAGAGGGTGTTGTAGTTGGCACCTTGCTTGTAGAGGGTGTTGTAGTTGGCGGCCTTGCTTGTAGAGGGTGTTGTAGTTGGCACCTTGCTTGTAGAGGGTGTTGTAGTTGGCACATTGCTTGTAGAGGGTGTTGTAGTTGGCACATTGCTTGTAGAGGGTGTTGTAGTTGGCGCCTTGCTTGTAGAGGGTGTTGTAGTTGGCTGTCTTGCTTGTAGAGGGTATTGTAGATTGGCACCTTGCTTGTAGAGGGTGTTGTAGTTGGTGCCTTGCTTGTAGAGGGTGATGTAGTTGGTATTATGCTTGTAGAGGGTGTTGTAGTTGTGCCTTGCTTGTAGAGGGTGTTGTAGTTGGTGCTCTTGCTTGTAGAGGGTGTTGTAGTAGGTGCCTTGCTTGTAGAGGGTGTTGTAGTTGGTGCCTTGCTTGTAGAGGGTGTTGTAGTTGGTGCTTGCTTGTAGAGGTGTTGTAGTTAGTGCCTGCTTGTAGAGGGTGTTGTAGTTGGTGCTTGCTTGTAGAGGGTGTTGTAGTTGGTGCCTTGCTTGTAGAGGGTGTTGTAGTTGGTGCCTTGCTTGTAGAGGGTGTTGTAGTTGGTGCCTTGCTTGTAGAGGGTGTTGTAGTTGGTGCCTTGCTTGTAGAGGGTGTTGTAGTTGGTGCCTTGCTTGTAGAGGGTGTTGTAGTTGGTGCCTTGCTTGTAGAGGGTGTTGTAGTTGTGCCTTGCTTGTAGAGGGTGTTGTAGTTGGTGCCTTGCTTGTAGAGGGTGTTGTAGTTGGTGCCTTGCTTGTAGAGGGTGTTGTAGTTGGTGCCTTGCTTGTAGAGGGGTGTTGTAGTTGGTGCCTTGCTTGTAGAGGGTGTTGTAGTTGGTGCCTTGCTTGTAGAGGGTGTTGTAGTTGGCTGCCTTGCTTGTAGAGGGTGTTGTAGTTGGTGCCTTGCTTGTAGAGGGTGTTGTAGTTGTGCCTTGCTTGTAGAGGGTGTTGTAGTTGGCCCTTGCTTGTAGAGGGTGTTGTAGTGGTGCTTGCTTGTAGAGGGTGTTGTAGTTGGCACTTTGCTTGTAGAGGGTGTTGTAGTTGGTGCCTTGCTTGTAGAGGGTGATGTAGTTGGGCCTTGCTTGTAGAGGGTGTTGTAGTTGGCACTTATGCTTGTAGAGGGTGTTGTAGTTGGCACATTGCTTGTAGAGGGTGTTGTAGTTGGCACATTGCTTGTAGAGGGTGTTGTAGTTGGCCTTGCTTGTAGAGGGTGTTGTAGTTGGCGCATTGCTTGTAGAGGGTGTTGTAGTTGGCACATTGCTTGTAGAGGTGTTGTAGTTGGTGCCTTGCTTGTAGAGGGTGTTGTAGTTTGGCACATTGCTTGTAGAGGGTGTTGTAGTTGGCACATTGCTTGTAGAGGGTGTTGTAGTTGCGCATGCTTGCAGAGGGTGTTTGTAGTTGGTGTCTTGCTTGTAGAGGGTACTGTAGATGGCACCTTGCTGTAGAGGGTGTTGTAGTTGGTGCCTTGCTTGTAGAGGGTGTTGTAGTTGGCATTATGCTTGTAGAGGTGTTGTAGTTGGCATTCTGCTTGTAGAGGGTGTTGTAGTTGGGCATTATGGCTTGTAGAGGGTGTTTGTAGTTGGCATATGCTTGTAGAGGGTGTTGTAGTTGGCATTATGCTTGTAGAGGGTGTTGTATTTGGGCATTTGCTTGTAGAGGGTGTTGTAGTTGGCATTATGCTTGTAGAGGATGTTGTAGTTGGCATTATGCTTGTAGAGGTGTTGTAGTTGGTGCCTTTGCTTGTAGAGGGTGTTGTAGTTGTGCATTATGCTTGTAGAGGGTGCTTGTAGTTGTGCACCTTGCCTTGTAGAGGGTGTTGTAGTTGGTGCTTTGCTTGTAGAGGGTGTTGTAGTTGGTGCTTGCTTGTAGAGGGTGTTGTAGTTGGTGCTTGCTTGTAGAGGGTGTGTAGTTGGTGCTTTGCTTGTAGAGGGTGTTGTAGTTGGTGCCTTGCTTGTAGAGGGTGTTGTAGTTGGTGCCTTGCTTGTAGAGGGTGTTGTAGTTGGTGCTTTGCTTGTAGAGGGTGTTGTAGTTGGTGCCTTGCTTGTAGAGGGTGTTGTAGTTGGTGCCTTGCTTGTAGAGGGTGTGTAGTTGGTGCTTTGCTTGTAGAGGGTGTTGTAGTTGGTGCTTTGCTTGTAGAGGGTGTTGTAGTTGGTGCCTTGCTTGTAGAGGGTGTTGTAGTTGGTGCCTTGCTTGTAGAGGGTGTTGTAGTTGGTGCCTTGCTTGTAGAGGGTGTTGTAGTTGGTGCCTTGCTTGTAGAGGGTGTTGTAGTTGGTGCCTTGCTTGTAGAGGGTGTTGTAGTTGGTGCCTTGCTTGTAGAGGGTGTTGTAGTTGGCACCTTGCTTGTAGAGGGTGTTGTAGTTGGCACCTTGCTTGTAGAGGGTGTTGTAGTTGGCACCTTGCTTGTAGAGGGTGTTGTAGTTAGTGCTTTGCTTGTAGAGGGTGTTGTATTTGGTGCTTTGTTTGTAGAGGGTGTTGTAGTTGGGCACTTGCTTGTAGAGGGTGTTGTAGTTGGCACCTTGCTTGTAGAGGGTGTTGTAGATTGGCAGCCTTGCTTGTAGAGGGTGTTGTAATTGGCACCTTGCTTGTAGAGGGTGTTGTAGTTGGCGCCTTGCTTGTAGAGGGTGTTGTATTGGTGCCTTTGCTTGTAGAGGGTGTTGTAGTTGGCCTTGCTTGTAGAGGGTGTTGTAGTTGGCTGCCTTGCTTGTAGAGGGTGTTGTAGTTGGCGTCCTTGCTTGTAGAGGTGTTTGTAGTTGGCGCCTTGCTTGTAGAGGGTGTTGTAGTTGGCGCCTTGCTTGTAGAGGGTGTTGTAGTTGGCGCCTTGCTTGTAGAGGGTGTTGTAGTTGGCGCCTTGCTTGTAGAGGGTGTTGTAGTTGGCGCCTTGCTTGTAGAGGGTGTTGTAGTTGGCGCCTTGCTTGTAGAGGGTGTTGTAGTTGGCGCCTTGCTTGTAGAGGGTGTTGTAGTTGGCGCCTTGCTTGTAGAGGGTGTTGTAGTTGGCGCCTTGCTTGTAGAGGGTGTTGTAGTTGGCGCCTTGCTTGTAGAGGGTGTTGTAGTTGGCGCCTTGCTTGTAGAGGGTGTTGTAGTTGGCGCCTTGCTTGTAGAGGGTGTTGTAGTTGGCGCCTTGCTTGTAGAGGGTGTTGTAGTTGGCGCCTTGCTTGTAGAGGGTGTTGTAGTTGGCGCCTTGCTTGTAGAGGGTGTTGTAGTTGGCGCCTTGCTTGTAGAGGGTGTTGTAGTTGGCGCCTTGCTTGTAGAGGGTGTTGTAGTTGGCGCCTTGCTTGTAGAGGGTGTTGTAGTTGGCGCCTTGCTTGTAGAGGGTGTTGTAGTTGGCGCCTTGCTTGTAGAGGGTGTTGTAGTTGGCGCCTTGCTTGTAGAGGGTGTTGTAGTTGGCGCCTTGCTTGTAGAGGGTGTTGTAGTTGGCGCCTTGCTTGTAGAGGGTGTTGTAGTTGGCGCCTTGCTTGTAGAGGGTGTTGTAGTTGGCGCCTTGCTTGTAGAGGGTGTTGTAGTTGGCGCCTTGCTTGTAGAGGGTGTTGTAGTTGGCGCCTTGCTTGTAGAGGGTGTTGTAGTTGGCGCCTTGCTTGTAGAGGGTGTTGTAGTTGGCGCCTTGCTTGTAGAGGGTGTTGTAGTTGGCGCCTTGCTTGTAGAGGGTGTTGTAGTTGGCGCCTTGCTTGTAGAGGGTGTTGTAGATGGCGCCTTGCTTGTAGAGGGTGTTGTAGTTGGCGCCTTGCTTGTAGAGGGTGTTGTAGTTGGCGCCTTGCTTGTAGAGGGTGTTGTAGTTGGCGCCTTGCTTGTAGAGGGTGTTGTAGTTGGCGCCTTGCTTGTAGAGGGTGTTGTAGTTGGCGCCTTGCTTGTAGAGGGTGTTGTAGTTGGCATTATGCTTGTAGAGGGTGTTGTAGTTGGCATTATGCTTGTAGAGGGTGTTGTAGTTGGCATTATGCTTGTAGAGGGTGTTGTAGTTAGCATTATGCTTGTAGAGGGTGTTGTAGTTGGCATTATGCTTGTAGAGGGTGTTGTAGTTGGCACATTGCTTGTAGAGGGTGTTGTAGTTGGCACATTGCTTGTAGAGGGTGTTGTAGTTGGCGCATTGCTTGTAGAGGGTGTTGTAGTTGGCACATTGCTTGTAGAGGGTGTTGTAGTTGGCACATTGCTTGTAGAGGCTGTTGTAGTTGGCACATTGCTTGTAGAGGGTGTTGTAGTTGGCGCCTTGCTTGCAGAGGGTGTTGTAGTTGGTGTCTTGCTTGTAGAGGGTACTGTAGATGGCACCTTGCTTGTAGAGGGTGTTGTAGTTGGTGCCTTGCTTGTAGAGGGTGATGTAGTTGGTATTATGCTTGTAGAGGGTGTTGTAGTTGGCACATTGCTTGTAGAGGGTGTTGTAATTGGCACATTGCTTGTAGAGGGTGTTGTAGTTGGCACATTGCTTGTAGAGGCTGTTGTAGTTGGCACATTGCTTGTAGAGGGTGTTGTAGTTGGCACATTGCTTGTAGAGGCTGTTGTAGTTGGCGCATTGCTTGTAGAGGCTGTTGTAGTTGGCACATTGCTTGTAGAGGCTGTTGTAGTTGGCACATTGCTTGTAGAGGCTGTTGTAGTTGGCACATTGCTTGTAGAGGGTGTTGTAGTTGGCACATTGCTTGTAGAGGGTGTTGTAGTTGGCGCCTTGCTTGCAGAGGGTGTTGTAGTTGGTGTCTTGCTTGTAGAGGGTACTGTAGATGGCACCTTGCTTGTAGAGGGTGTTGTAGTTGGCATTATGCTTGTAGAGGGTGTTGTAGTTGGCATTATGCTTGTAGAGGGTGTTGTAGTTGGCATTATGCTTGTAGAGGGTGTTGTAGTTGGCATTATGCTTGTAGAGGGTGTTGTAGTTGGCATTATGCTTGTAGAGGGTGTTGTAGTTGGCATTATGCTTGTAGAGGGTGTTGTAGTTGGCATTATGCTTGTAGAGGGTGTTGTAGTTGGCATTATGCTTGTAGAGGGTGTTGTAGTTGGCATTATGCTTGTAGAGGGTGTTGTAGTTGGCACATTGCTTGTAGAGGGTGTTGTAGTTGGCACATTGCTTGTAGAGGGTGTTGTAGTTGGCACATTGCTTGTAGAGGGTGTTGTAGTTGGCGCATTGCTTGTAGAGGCTGTTGTAGTTGGCACATTGCTTGTAGAGGGTGTTGTAGTTGGCACATTGCTTGTAGAGGCTGTTGTAGTTGGCACATTGCTTGTAGAGGGTGTTGTAGTTGGCACATTGCTTGTAGAGGGTGTTGTAGTTGGCGCCTTGCTTGCAGAGGGTGTTGTAGTTGGTGTCTTGCTTGTAGAGGGTACTGTAGATGGCACCTTGCTTGTAGAGGGTGTTGTAGTTGGTGCCTTGCTTGTAGAGGGTGTTGTAGTTGGCATTATGCTTGTAGAGGGTGTTGTAGTTGGCATTATGCTTGTAGAGGGTGTTGTAGTTGGCATTATGCTTGTAGAGGGTGTTGTAGTTGGCATTATGCTTGTAGAGGGTGTTGTAGTTGGCATTATGCTTGTAGAGGGTGTTGTAGTTGGCATTATGCTTGTAGAGGGTGTTGTAGTTGGCATTATGCTTGTAGAGGATGTTGTAGTTGGCATTATGCTTGTAGAGGGTGTTGTAGTTGGTGCCTTGCTTGTAGAGGGTGTTGTAGTTGGCATTATGCTTGTAGAGGGTGCTGTAGATGGCACCTTCCTTGCAGAGGGTGTTGTAGTTGGTGCCTTGCTTGTAGAGGGTGTTGTAGTTGGTGCCTTGCTTGTACATGTAGTTGGCATCGTGCTTGTAAAGGGTGTTGTAGTTGTTGCCTTACTTGTAGTGGGTGATGTAGTCGATGCTTTTGCTGTTGATGGAGCTGGTGTCTCACTTGTAAGAGTTGTGACTTGTGCATTGCTTCTTGGTGTGTCTGCCGTCTTGATCATTTCTTTCAGAGAATCTATTGTTGTAGTTGATGTCTTGTTTGAAGAAGCTTTTGTTGCAGTTTGCATTTTGCTTGTACAAGATGTTTCTGGAGCTGGTGTCTTGCTTGTTGAAACACTGGTTGTAGCAGGAGCAATGCTTATAGCTGTTGTAATGAGTTCCTTACTTGTGGAAGATGTAGTGATTGGCGTGTTGTTTGTAAAAACTGATTTCATGGTAGACATGCTGCTTCCTGAAGCAGTAGTTGTAGCTGTTGCCCTGCTTGTACAATATGCTGTGCTTACTGAGGTGTCTGAAGAAGCTTTTGTTTCATTGGGAGAATCTGTTGCGATTTCTGCCTCGATTGTTGAAGCTGATGTTATTGGTATCTCCCCTACAGAATCACCTGTGTTAACGACTACTGTTGTTCCACAAGTTGTTTCTAATCCTCCTGGCATGCTTGCTATAGTTGGTATTTTTGCTGTAGCTTCAAATCCTACTAATTTGGCAGGAGTATCCTGTGCAGAACATATTACATGAAGTGTTGTTTTGTCAGTAACTTGGCCTGTTGACAGGTTTTTGTTTGTAGTTCCTGAAGCAATTGTAGCAGATTGTATTTTGCTTGTAGAATCTGTCAGTGTGCTAACTGCAGTTCTGACTGCCAATGAAATATTAGCACTCTTTGCTGAAGTTGAAAGCACTGCATTGCTCACTAAAGCAACTTGAGAAGAATCATGTAAGACAGATCTATTTACTGCTGATTTTGTTGAAACAGAATTAGAATCTGCAACTAACTTTTGTACAGTCTTACGGATAGCTGATGTAACCGCCACTTTCCGGTGCCTTTGGACACATGCAACTAAAGTTCTACCATTACTAGCATACTGTGGTTTTCTGATTTTCTCAATGCAGCTCCACTCTTGAAAGCCTTGAGCAGCTGCATCCTCCCGTGCCCAGCTATTAAACCTCTCCACGGCACCTGTGAGACACACATTTTCCACTAAATAGGAAATTTCTGGTAGTATAGGAATCACATGACCAGAAGTTCTCATATGACTGAGAGCATTAGATCTTTCTATAACATCTAGTTGTAATGGTAACAAGTCTGTGAATAAAACTTTGTATTTATTGGAATTCCCAGCTATGTGCTCTCTCAACATCTTTGCTCTTGATACCAAAAACTGATATAATCTGGAGTCTGTATCTCTTTGAAGTTCTACTCTCTTGAATGCTGGCAAGCACCCAAAATATCTGCATTGCCTGTCAGGTTTCAAATTTATAGCAGTGCTAACACCAGACATCATCACAAAGAGCGTGCCTTTTTGATAGGATCTACAAGTCTCTATGAAACCTCTATCAAATCGAAAGTCGAGGTTATTTCTATATAAAATTGAAACATGTGACAAATGTAGACGACTGAGCAATGAATCTTGCTGATCACAGATAAGCACAATCTTCTTCAGAGTGAACTTCTCCTGTAGAAAGTAAAAGAATTATCATTAGCATTTTTCATTACATTTACCTAATGTGCAACCAGACATCCACTTCTTCAATATATCCTTTCATTAAATATGAAAGTTAGTGCAGTCATTTTGATTTTGAATTAAAAAACTAAAGATATTACAATAGATATTCACACAACTATAAATCCAGTTGCTTACCCCCCCCCACCCCAAGTCCCATAACCTGTTCCATCAGCCTTTCCGCCAGTGGGTGAGGAGTGTACATGATTTATCATGGGTGTCTTTCATACAGATTCCCAAGCTCTTCTTCAGCTTCATTACTACTATGAGTGGTGAGTGATATACTATGGTTTAATGTGACTTTTCTAAATGCTCTTTCTTTTTTTGTGTCCCTCATCAAGGTGGTTTGAAGTTCATTTTCCTTGAGGGGTACATCTTTTAGAGAGGCTTTCACCTTCCCCTATTTTAACTTGTACTTGCTCTTCCTCTTTCATAAGGGGTTAGAAGAGTAGGATCGCGTGGTGCTCGTGGTGCTTTGAGAGGTTTGCCAAGACTAGTCCCTTGTCCCCTGCCCCTGGTCTCAGTGAAGCTCATGGAAGGGAGGTGGGGTCACCAGGAGTCTTCTGTGGGGAGGGAGGGGATCGTGTTCCCTTTTCTTTCCTTTTTCTTAATCTGTTTTGATTATCAGTGCACCTGTTCCTAACTCTGCTATTCTTTGAGGATTTCTAGGAGACCTGGAGAAGAGGATGGGAAGGGGTTGCCCCTGTTAACCCAATGGTGCCGGGGAAAATTAACAAAAAATGGAGAAAATGCTGTGCCCACTTTTGTTTTTCGTGAAATGTCTGCCAATAGATGGCTCTGCTAGCACCTGATTTGAAATGGCGGGAAAAACGTATTTTTCACTAGTGCTATGAAAATCGATGGTGTTATTTTTATCATAAACATTATAATTTTGTTTTTTAACATTAGTAACAGCAAAATAAGATAACGTAAAATATTTCGTAAATCAAAGAAACGGGTAAACGGGCGAGACGGGCGGTGCTTGTAGTTGGCTCATTGGTGATTTAGTACAAGTGTTGCCATCTATGCGTAAAAACAATCAAACAAGTACTCACGGTGGGCATAGCACGTACGTACACGTCATATCCGGCACCAATGGGTTAAGAGCACCATCTGGCTGCTGCCTGATTCATCACCCCGTGATGGGTCCTTACCCTGGGACCATTACTCCTGATGTGCTTGACTTAGTTCAATCTCTCACTGGTTGCCATGTGGAACATAGCTTCCTCCTCTCTGCCATTCTTTAGGCCATACTAAGGATTCACTTGCTCTGCTGCTCTGGTCTTGTGATGAGCGCCTGGCAGGTGATGGTAAGGTACCACTCACTTCCCTTCCCTGCTGGCCTCTTCCCTTTTTGCCTCCAAGTGGACAAACTCCTGTGAGTGCTATCAAATGCTTCCTCACAATGGTGGTCTTGAACATTATGTGGCTTGTCTGCTGGTTGCCTTGCTTAAAGCTGCTAAATGCTTAGAGCCAAACAGCATAGGGGTAGCTGCAAATGAGGGTAACCATCCCTTTCTCCTTGTTTCCAGCTATATTCTTGCAACTCCTGTATCTCCTCTCACTCTGTGATGCACTTTTAAAACCTTACAACTGAATCCCCTCATTTGCAGTTTGTTGCTAAGTATGGTCACCCACATTTCTTGACTGATAGTTGCTATTCTTGTTTATAGTGAGATGCTACTATCTGACCTCTGTAGGTATAGCTAGACTCCCTGGACATGTTCTTATTCTTTCACATGGCCACAACCATTAAGAAAAGTAAACACACAGGCTGATGCGGGACACTCTCCCTATCCATACCATGCATAACGCTACCTCAACTCTTGCATTTCTCACTTGTTTGAACTTAGAAGGATTTAATAGGCAGGTTAGTGGAAATCAGACACTCAGAGCAGTATCCAACATCTTCAGGATAAAGTTTTCATAGGTCTGCCACCACCACTTAGTTCTTATACTTAATGAAGTGCTGGTGATACCCTTTAGGCCTAGTTGAATTACTGCATTATCCTATTTTTTTTATCTATC